ATATACATTGCTACGGTATGCTATGGTTTCTTTTTATTCTCTTCTAGAAACTTAAGTACTCGCTGATATATTTTTGATGGTTCATCCACTCGCGGCACCTATGGCAAAGATTAGCTTGAAACATTTAATAGGTACAAATCTTGCTTTATATAATTTTCAATTCAGATTAATTTAAAGGAAACGGTAGATATAATCAATAAACAAAGTTAAGTATTGTTTGTACGTGAAGAATTAGTAACGATTTATGTATTTATTTTGTCATATATAAACTAATTAAAGTTGCAAAAGCATTTCTTATCTTATTGGATTTGCCTACCTCATAATTTTGGGCTATGTATATTCCTGCGTATACTCCAATACTCAAACTGATCTGCAAATTATTAGAAGAAAGTTCAACAAATGAAATAGTCCTCAAAATCATGAGAATCATATGTTTTTACATACCAGAAACCGAAGCATATTGAGGGTTCTTAAAACAGACTTAGTCAAACCGTGAATCTTATTTGCTAATGCTCGCGAAATACCGCTAAACATTCAGATAGAAGTGCACTGACGTACGCTCGAACGTCAAGCATTAAACACGCGCAAGCATGATAAGAACCAGGATAGAAAGCCATCAAGATCACTAGTTATTTTCAATTTGGTTAACTTTGTAACTAGATCTAGTTATTTCTGATGCTTGTTTTAATTGGAGGTGAAAGAGGGCGCAACTTTTATTTTTTAATTCTGCATGAAACATTTTTCTCATCATATTATTTAAATATTTCATTTAACGAGATTAATAAATTAAAGTATTTGCACTTCTATAAATAATAATTTTATATTTAAGTAACATGAAGATATATGCTTTCTACAATAAGCCATTATAAGTTTTAAGCCATAAAAAAATTGATCCATCACAGTCAAATGTGTGAGAAGAATAATCAATTGTAATTGGTCAATTTCTTGTGACTTAAGATTTAAAGATTAGGTAATAGCTTATTGTAGAGAGCCTATAAAATTAAAGGCGATTAGTGTTATCACTGAGGAAATGTTGCATATAACAGTTATTGTTTGATTTTATTACGTACAATTTGCCTTCAAAATATATGTATAATATTATATTGAGAGTAATAACGTAATACATCACAAAGACAGAGAAGAATCCTTAGCTTGATCTAATAAATTTGTAAGGACTTTTTTATGAAGAGATAATATTGGTATGTATAATCTACTTCTTAAAAGAAATTATTATTTTCTCATAAGAGCTTCATTTAAATGTATGTAAGGTCAGTATCGCTTAATAAACTACAAAAGTAAGATCTTTATCATCTAAGAGATTTTTGTCGCGAGAGTGACGTATTAATGACTGACAAAAAAGAAACACAAAAATTTTTAAGTATCTAAAATAGTTCTGAATCATTTATAATAAAAATAAGAGAAGATTCAAAATTTGAAGACTGAGAATATTGCAAACATGAGTTTATATATATGTGTGTGTATGCACGCGAATGGTCTAATAACCGTCTTCGTCATCTTCATCCATGGCGAAGTCGCTACCAACTCCGGAATCCGGCACGTAGAGAGGGCTGCGAAACAAAACATAAATCACATTACAAGTTGAAAGAGAGAAAAGAAAGACAAAAAATCCCTTTTTCTAGAAACTTACTTTATCGCTCTGCACGTGAAAAATACAATGCGCTTCAGCTTTTTATTGTAGAAGAAATAATTGAAGGACCACAGACATCCGTCTTCCCCAAAAGGATCTGACGCGAAGTCTGGATTGTAACTGTAAAATGTTCTCTTATATTACTTCGTATTATTCTCTTACTTAAATAATTTTACGCTTACTCCTACTTGATGCCAAATTTAATTCAATATTCAGGATCTGTGTGTATCTTCTACTTTTTATTTATATTAGATAATCGTAAACAATCGAATGTTTTACCTGTAAATATCACACCCGTGCAACGATATCTCTTTGTCAACAGCCGCCCAAAGAGCGGAACGTAATGATCGATAATGATCGCCCGCGGTAGCGTTAAGATTACCATCCACCGCATTCATTACCCACTGTAAGCTTGGTTCCTTGCTGAATTCGTGGCTCTTAGCGTCCGAGAAATCATAGTCCGGGTTAAAGGTTGAATTCAACGTGGCGATCAGATAAAATAACGTTTTCTTGCTGATCGTGTCGCACAGCGGACCCTCTTCATCGCCGGAAACGCTACGACTGTAAGAGGAAAATGTGTTGTGATAATAATATTATCAACTTGTGACTAAGGCCAGTCAGTTCTCATATTTAAAACCGTCTAAGTTTTAAAATGTCATAAACCAATCACAGATATGATATTCATAATCCGTTCTGATTTTTAAGGGTGATATTCATAATCCGTCCTAAATAATATTTTAAAATACTAATACAGCCTTCTGATTGGCTTATGACATAATATTGAAGACTGTCTTAAAACTGTACTTAAGACAGTCTTAGATATAAGAATCGACTAGAAATATCAGCTTAAGGCCATTATTCATAGTCAGATCTTATATTCAAGACTGTCTTAAGTACGGTCTTAAGAAGTCACGAACCAATCAGACCGGTATTCATAGTCGATTCTTATTTCAAGACCATCTTAAGTAATGTCTCATGGGGTTTCTACAATAAGTCATTACCTACGTCTTAAGCCATAAGAAATTGATCAGTCATTATTCTTCTCACATTCGACTGTGACTGATCAATTTCTCACGACTTAAGATCTTTCGAAGATACCTCAAGCATCCCTGAGCCGGAGATGTTCCCAAAGATGTCTGCGGTGGTGATAAAGCTTGTAGATCATGTGGCGTACCACCCTGCTCTGCGTTGTACCGTTTGTACATTTGCTTGTCGTTGGCTGTCATTTTGCAAGAATAACTTTCGATCCTGCAATGATAAAGATGCAATATAAATAATAACAAAATAGTTCAAGATAATGGATGCTTGCCACTTATGTCTGTTTCCACCAATGTAGATTAACTTTAATCTCAATGTTCACCTTCTCTCCATCTTTTTCTAATCCTTAGAACAAGGAATAATGCCAGTTTCTATCAATGTAGATAAATTCTAATCTCGGTTCAACTTGCTCTTTATTTTTTTCTAATTCTTAAAACTAGAAATGGACATAAAATGAAGAGTAAGTTGAACGAAATTAAAGTTAATCTACATTGACGGACATTGGTGATACAAATCGACACAAACATGATTCTGTCTTTCTTGACATTCAATGAGCAACAAAGACAGAGCAACATTTATGTCAAATGGAAAACACTCGTAATAGGATGAATTTAAGTATAGCCTCCATTTGCGTACCTCCCGATTATCTTGCTATCTCCGGTCTTGATGGACAAGGCACTGTTTATAGCTTCCAAATGGGTATTCTCCAGCAGCTTCATCCTGCTAATAATTTCTGATCTTTCTGGTTACACTGTAAACTGTGACTCCTGCCTTGGAATGCTGGAAAACTAGCGTTGTGTCAGTATCTCCCTATCAATTGGGTTTACTCGATTTACAATGTTGACATCTCGTGACTCTTGGAGCCCTTGTCACTCGCTGTTCAGGCGATTCTAGATACGTTTTTTTGCTCAAATTCTCAAGGGCTAGGCCGTTCAGTACAAGCGAAACGTCAAGAAGCTTCTATAACTCCTTTGACTTATCGGATTGTTGAACATCTCTTTTATGTGTATGAAAATTCCTTTCCTTTTCGAGTGGACGAGATTAATTGTCGACGTAGTGGTCTTCCCGGCTTCCTTGCTGTACTTGCACATTACAGATAGCTAGTTAAGGATTTGGGGGAAGGTGATCGAGTTCCAGAGCGGGCTTTGTTGAACGTGAGATCAAGGACCTTCGCTCCCAAAGGAGTATACAAGTGAGTACTAGTCCTTAACACAGTGCGCTGCCCGCTTGATAGAAGCCGAGTGAAAGAGGGAGACAGAGATATACGGGGGAGAGAAAGAAAGAGAGAGAGAGAGAGAGAGCGAGAGACTGAGCGATAACGCGACGAATCCACCGATAAACAAAGGTGCGCTTCTCCTTTGAGATTACGAGACTCTGGAATAAAAAATTATCGTCTCTCTGGCGAAGGCCGCGCGAACGAACGCACACACACACACACGCACGCACACCACACACAGGCGGAAGGACAACTTCTCGTGATGTTCTTCGAATTGACAGGAGACGTCAGGTTTCAGCCTCGAGTTGCTTTCTTCTCGCTCGGAGGAAAAAGTGCGAGAGAGAGGGAGATATATATGTATGCCGAGAAAGACACAGTGCCTCACGCGTAGCGCCCGCTACTGACGATAACAATCCATAATCACGGACATTGTCGCTTCGCTGTGGCTGATACGTATCACGATCACTATAGAGAACAATGTACGCCTCCTTCTGAGAAACTTGTCGATCTCGTCGAACGCGTCTCCTGCACAACAACCCTGACAACGCACTCGACCTTCCTCGCGCGCGAGTTCGACCAGTTTACCAACTCTAAACTCTAATTGCGACTCAGTGTCAGCCCGCGTTCACCGCACACATAGAGACGTGCCAACGATGTGTGTATGTGTGGAAACGCTCGTGGATTCACGTACATATGCAGTTGCTCGTGTGAGTGCGCGTGTTACCCTACGTACGTGACAGAAATAGCAATAGCAGAGGTGAAGGGGGGGGACGAAGGGAGACTGCGGGGAGACGTATCGTATCGTTCTCTCGCTCGCTCGAATGACTTCGGTCCCCCTCGGTCTCGCTCGTGTACCTCGTCGCGCCAGTGGGTGGGGGAGGCACGCGTACGCTCAGCCAATCGCGTTACGTCAGCGACGCGCGCGCGTGTGAGTGACGCGCTGCGGGATGCACGCGCGCGCGTGTGTGTGTTGTGTGCGAGACCGTGACCGGGAGAGAGCTTGTCTCTTTTTGATCGAAACGGAACATCGGCTCTCTCTGTCTCTCTTTCTCTCTCTCTCTCTCTCTCTCTCTCTCTCTCTTCTGCCACTCTCGGCTGAAGCTCTTGCACTCCCTATTTGTTGAAACGAGACGATTGCATGTCGAAACGTAAACAGGGGCGAAGGAAGGGGAAAAAGATCACAGAAGACGAATCCACAATTTAAAGCACGAAGGTTCGGTTCTACTGATGTAAGATTTTAACTTTTCAGTTTGATTTATTGTTTATCATCTTCTCTAATTATATTGAAATTAGAAAAAGATAAAAAGCAGATTGAAATGAGATTAAAATTACTATTTGTCTTTTTTTTATTCTTAGAATTATGCTCGTTTTTATTATTTATACATTAATCTTGGTTTTACTTACATTTTATCTTTTTCTAGTTCTAGAAATTGGAAAAGGATGAAGAGTAAATTAAACCGAGATTAAAATTAATCTACGTTGCATTTTATTAAAAGCGGACATTTAGTATGTTAAAAAAAGATAAAGAATTGATCCGAGATTAGAATTAATTTTACATTTATAGAACCAATTAGTTGAAATCTATTTAAGAATTAGCGCAGCCTATCTTCGGGTTATTCATGTTAAATATAAAAATTTAATACAATTTTTAAAATTAACAAGCGTGTCGTTACTGATTCAAGATAATATAATTAAATGATACAACATAAAGGATGTAGAAGAACGATTAAATAATTAAGAAGCACATATCTTTTAATACCTCCTGATGTTATTTTAAAACATCTTTTTATAATAAAAACATTCTATATGACATAGGTGCATATGTGCGTATACGTGTAGCGATTTAATCATGGCGCACGCGTCGGCTCGGCTGTATTTATTTGGAGCGATCTTAACCTCGCAAAACTAGCGCAAGCTTAGCATCCCTCCAGCAGGATCAGCGTGAAAATGAGGATGGTGTGACAGCTTGTCGTAAACAGGAGCTTAAAAGTTTATTTAATCAAAATTAGTCAAAATGTCGAAACGAAACAGCGACTACGTGGTCACGGAGCATCGCGACTTGCAGGTTGGTCAACAAAGTGTCGTGTCTTCTCCTGTAAGAAGTAACAACTCTTGTTCACCAAAGAAATGAGGACTTATTTCGTGTTTTATTTAGGCTAACACCATGGCAGTGGATGCGACCGGCAACTACGTTCTGTTGGCCGGGTAAGTGGTTCTTAAAAATCAACGATTACTCACGACAAATATTTAGTAATATTTATTAATTTATAAATAATCAGCAATCACACACAAGAGAGAGTCTTCGTAGAAAAAGGTTACCTGAAAAGCACTGTTGAAACTCATGTATTTTATGTGAAAAAAAAAGTCAATTTAGTCTGTGCTTTAACCTTTTACTGTGCTTTAAACCTATGGCAAATATTTAGTAATTTTTATTAATTTATGAATAATTAATATCCAAGTTTTTGGTAGAATAAGATTATTTTAAATATTCATTATTTCAGATATTTGTGAAACTCACATATTTAATGTGTGAAAAATGTCATTTAGTCTATTATTGTGTTTTAAATATTCTATTATTATTGATGCTAAATAAATACAAAAATTCTTCTCTAGACGCAGATACTTAGCAGTGAAACATTTGGACGAGGATGTAAATACAGTGAAGAAGTTTCAGCGACAGAGTAAATATGAGGTTGGCTCTGCCGAATGGAATCCATGCGACTTAAATTGCCACTTGTGTGCGATTTCTGTAAGATTCTGTCCATCTTTTATACATAAATATATGCAAATGTATCGCCAAAAATCTATATTACTAGAAACATAGAAAGAATCCAGATAGCATGAAACTTGCTTTTTATTTAGTGATACAAACATCATTCTATCTTTTTTGACATTTAATGAATAACAAAAACACTCGTGCCAATTTGTGTCACTAAATGGAAAGCATTCAATGTCAGTGTATGTAGTTGTGATATCATTGCACAACTTTTTTTATTATGTATAAATTCTGTGCAACGACATGAGTATTTTTCAGCAAGGACACAGTGCAAATATTGGCTAATTTAATACTAGTTAATTTATTTAAAAGTTATGCATTGATTTTCGCGGGTTTCGCATGCGAAACGCATGCATAGAAAACCATTTTCCTGATTATTAAAGACTGACCAATTCCCCTTCCCCTCTCCCCTTCCTCACCCACAATTCTCTTCTTTCCCCCCACCATTCCAACAAGTAGCGTATAAAAAAGAATGGCTCAGTATCAGGCTGCTCTTCGCCCTGATGAAGTGGACTGCAAGGTTCACGAAACGTTGGCATTTTAAGAATGGATCTGGAGAAAACCCGCGAAACGCATAACTTTTATAGAAAGCATCTGTGAAAGCTTCAAGAATATTATTTAATTTATTATTAATTTATTATTAAAAGACAATATAATCAATTACTTATTTGGAGTACTAAAAGTACTGAACAACAGTACTTTAAAAATAAATAATTACTGTCTTTCAGTATTAGGCCATTATTAGATTTCTATAAGTACACCAATAGGAAAATATTGGCCAATTAACAATATAGACAATTAGGATCTTGCTGCTCCATACTATCTGGGAAAATATTTTGGGATATCTGGGAATGTATTTTATTATATCTCTTATTTTGAAATAATTTTCTTTTAGAGCAACACGCGAATCGAAATATTGAACTTCAGTGGAGCAGGAGGTTACGAGTTGCAAACTACTCAGAGTCTGAAAGCCCACACGCGGGTAGTTAGCGATTTGAGTTGGCATCCTAAGGAACCGGATATCATTGCTTCTTGCAGCATTGACACATTTATACATATCTGGGACATTCGAGATCAGAGGAAACCATGCTTGTCTTTGTCTGCAGTTGGTAAGATGGAAGACATAATAAAAGGAAGGTACTTGATTTCTTTTTGACTGAAAAAATAACAATTCTTATGTTTTTCCTAGCGGGATCGTCCCAAGTACGTTGGAATCCACTGTCATCTCATATCTTGGCCACAGCGCACGATGGAGATGTCAAGATATGGGACCAGCGGAAAGCAACGAGTCCTGTGCAGTATATAACAGCCCACTTGACAAAAGTATGACAAGTTTATTGTATTGTTTATTACTAGTTAGTGGTTTTTGTAAAAAAGTATTCAAATCAAAGTAAAATTTTAGATACATGGTTTAGATTGGTGCCCCTTTCAACAAAATCAATTGGCAACGTCGAGTCAAGACTGCACCGTTAAGATTTTCGATATTGTCAATCCGCGTAGAGCCGAGAGTATTTTAACGACAAATTCTCCTGTATGGAGAGCAAGATATACGGTAGGAACATAGATGTAGAATTTAGAAGTTTTTATGTTGCAACTGTGCTCCATATGATGCAACATTCGTAAATCTGTTTGCAGCCCTTTGGAGAAGGTTTAGTGACGATAGTGGTGCCGCAATTACGACGTGGAGAAAACAGTCTTTTACTATGGAATACGTCAAACCTCAATGCGCCAATATATACGTTTGTGGGCCATACGGATGTTGTGCTTGAATTTCAATGGCGGCATTTAAAACTAGGTTGTTATATTGAGAAATTTTTGAAAATATATTATAGAAAGAAGAGTTATATAAAATATATTGCTATAATTCTATTCGTATCTACTTATAGAAAACAGCGACTTTGAACTCGTTACATGGTCCAAGGATCAATGTTTGAGGATATTTAAAATCAGTCCATTTATAAAAAAAGTAAGATGCTTATGTTTCTCACAATTTTGTGAAGTATACAAATTGCGAGCAATAGAAATATTTCTTCAAAGGAGCTACGCGGCTTACGGGTGATATTTGTCATGATACATTGTTAAATATCATAACATTTATTGATGTATTAAGACACGAAAATAACTGTGTAGCTTCTTTGAAGAGAATATATGGAAGCCTCAGAAGTATTAAGAAATGTTTCTTATTTTCAGTTATGCAGCAATGGTATAGATGATGGCCTATCAGTCTACAGTCAGTATTCCGAAGAGAATAATTTAAGTACGTAGAGCACATTGTGATATTTGTGTGATACAATTTTTTTTGCATATAAGGAATATTTTTGCAGGAACTTTGCAATCCGTCCAAGAACTGCAGCTGAATACTTCTCAGAGCGAGCCTGAGATAAATTACATTACGACCAAAGTAGACGAGCCTGTGCCGCAATCTGAGACGATCAGCCTTCCAGACAATTCCAAAAAAGTCTCGTCTCCCACTCAGCCAAAGAGTTTGCAGCAGGAATTTTCTTTAATTAATATGAATATACCAAATATAGAGGTAATACTGCTTTAGATACATGAAATAAATGATTTAAAATAACTAACATTTGCATTTTGTTTTAGGTAAACGCAATGGACGTAGTGGAGAGGAGCTGTACGATAACCGCGTGTACAAAGAACTACAATGTGATATTAAAAGTAAATTTCCCCGTAAATTATCCATGTAGCGCGCAACCGACATTCCAGTTTTGTCCTGGCACAACGATTGACAACGCGACAATGACCAAACTGCTGAAAGTTCTCGTGCAAACTGCTCAGCATCGCGTCAAAAAGAACAGATCGTGCTTAGAACCATGTCTCCGGCAACTAAATATAACTTTGGAGCAAGTAAGCGGGTCTTCTTTTCGAATTAACGTCACACTATGAGAATAATTTCAAATCACTTCGATATGACATATCCAACCCATTCGATTGCTTAGAATTTTCATAAAAATGAACATACTGTAAAAAATTGTTTTTAATTGAAACGTCAAGCATTAAGAAACATATAATGATACCAAACAAATGTATATATCTATATTAATAAAAAAAAGTTATAAACAATGGAAAAAGAAAACTAGGTGTGCCATATCGAAAAAATATTTAAGGGTTATTATTAGTATACGAATAAAAATTTTGATTTGTGTTATGTTTGACAGATGTGCAAGAAAGACGAAGACGAGAGCGGACACTTATATCACATGCAGGATAACAGTAATTTCTTGAGCTCCCCCAATATCTGCGCGAACTATCAGGACTCCTATATACCATTTCCTAGAACGTCCGGTGCTAAATTTTCTTGTGTGGGTGCGTAAACGCTCTTCTTTCAACTTTGCGTTTTTCTAATCATTTTCTGAACAGGTATCCTCGTTTGTTTCGGCCGTCCTTCCTACGCGAGAAGATCAATGATGAAACCGGGAGACGCGACACCCAGAGCACTGTCCGCCTTGGACAATAGCATCGGTAACAGCGAATCTTTCATACATATGTACCGAAGTTCCTATGTGCCAACTAACGACAACATGTCTATCAGCTCATACTATTTTCAAGATCGTGTAAGAAATATTTAAATCGATAAACAAGAATAGTGATATACGTATGTCATATATACGTTATCTATGTAACTGTAATTCTATCAGCAGAAGGATCTTCGACGGGGGTTGCATGGGGCGGGTAGGATGCATGATCGATCGTACTTCAAGAATTGTCATCCGATGGTTATCATATACGATGTTTCGTCATTATTCTTTGTCAATAAAGAGCTTGCCGAAAAATATACGTGAGTACGACAATTATATACGTTCTTCTTTTTAAGGCTCTTGTTTGAATTTCCAACCCACTACAAAGGGTCACAATACTATACAATAAAGAAGGGTCAAGGACAGTGATAATCTCCTCGGAGAGTGGAGGCCTTGTTTGTTTAAAACTTACAATTATTATAGTATCATTTTAATTCGAAGTAAATATTCAAATAAATCCCTTTCGTATAATTCGCAACGGCCTTAAGCCTTCTAACTTAATCACAGATCAGCAATAAGCTCCTTAAGTATAACACAGAGTCAGCAGAAAACCGTGTATATGAGACGCGGATGGAATCGAACCTGGACTTGCAGATTATGAATTCGCGGATCAAGTGAGGAACCATCCGACGCCTCAATTATATACGTTGTGCAAATATCGTGACATTTTATCAATGAAAATATTTTATTTCTTTTTAGAATTAACACCGCTGATATTTCATCTATGTATCAGCACAATGCAAACGTAGCTGCTACGTTGGAAAGGTCCGACTTAACTCAGACTTGGTGTTTAGCTGGTTTAATCATTTTGCCGCCACCATCCAACACTGAGCAAAATTCTTATCATTCTCCCGATATCAGTGCTCCATGGCCTTTACATCCCTGGGGTCAAAACTTAATTCATTTCTTGTAAGCATTATTTTTCATTTTGTTATTATAACAGTTACAATTATATTCGGAAAAAGAAGATATTAGATTCAAATAATATTAAATCTAATAATGAAATAATTTTTAATTAATTTAACATTTTCTGTTCAATGAAGATTTAAAATTAATATTAAAATAATAAAATTAATATTAATTTTTTAAATCTGTAGACCTTAAAAAGATCAAGGATCATATTTGAAAACGAAATTTAACTTAAATCTTTATCATAGCTTGTCGATTATTTTAATTATCATCAATCGATTGTGTCATTTTTATTTTATATGTAATTTCTCTGTTTTATTTAGAATACAACATTACGCTAAGCAGTCTGATGTTCAGATGGCCGGCATGCTGAGCTGCGCACTTAGCTATCGATCTGAAAACACGGACGCTTTGCAAACTAGACTGACCAGTAAATCCGTGAATGTCAGTGTAAGTATACAGTTTGTATGAAAGAGCAAGAGGCGCAGGTATATCACTTGAAAATTTCTCTTCATGACACGACTACTTTGTTCCGCAAAGTAGAAATTATATGTACATTACACCAATCACATTTTCGCTTTCTACTCTGCATACGCGTTTCTTAATATTTGTTAAGAATAGAAACTTTTATGCACAGCACAGTGTCTCTTTCTGCCGATGCATGAGGGAATTTATAATTTTTACGATTTTTTTTTTAAGTGATGTGTAATTTGTTTGACGCGAATATGGCGGCGGTACAGTATGCATATTTAATCATAAATAATATTAATAAATACATTGCACTTCAACTTATTCAGTACAGATGTTATTCACAATTTTAAGAGAATTTTTTAAACTACGTATGATTAAAAGTTTAATTTTTGTACATCATTTTACAATAAATGTACACACAAGGCTTTCCAGCAATGGAACATTGTCGATTTGTAGCTGATTTGAACGTTGTTTAGCTTTTTTATTTTATTACTAGAAATAAAAAAAAAGGTCTCATACATTTATGTCCGAACATATCCGAATATAATCTTAAAAGCTTTTATCGAAAAATTAAAAAAATAAATAGTAATAAAAATGTAAAAATTTGACATTTGTAAAATAATATAAAGCGACGACACAGACAAATATAGCATTTTAGCTGTGTCGATTTGTGTCATAGAAATTTAAGTACAGAACTATACACTGTGTTACACAATGTTGTATAACACAGTGTATGATTGCCTGCGTACGTTGCTAAAAAGCAACAATATACTGTACTGGCGTACATCTTTTCTAATTATATATATTTATCATCGCTAACGATACAATGTTACGTTTGTTATAGAGGCTTTCCATAGGAAAATGGTGGTTAAAGGTAAGATTTCTAAGGTTTGTTTAAAAAGTTTTAACAGTTTTAACAGTTAAAACAGTAAAAGCATTTGGAATATTGGATTTGGTTTTTAGGATTCTCTGTTATGTACAATCGATATCTTGTGTTCGTCTCTCGGCATCGGACCGAAAGTGTTATTATCGAAAGTGGATTTGTTTTTTTATGATTAGAATCTAGGCACAAAGTTTACGTTACATATTTGTACGGATGCGATTAATAAAAAAAAAGAAAAAGAAAAAAAATAACGTATAGTAGCGCGTTATTTTTGCAAAAGTAGCAAATTGAAGTTAAACGACATGTGCTGTTTGCATAATAAAGTTACGCATATACCTCATACAAACTAATTACCATATAGATACTAATATTAATTATTGTGTGTGCTGTATGTCGTGTGCGTGTGTATTGTTTATATCTCATAGTACATGGCTGATGTACGTATTTCAATTGTGAATCTGTTCCATTCAATATATTTCCCTGCAGCCTGGCGGTTCGCCTTATCATACAATACATCTGGCAGATACTACATTAGAAGGATGGAATTTTCAAAATCTGAAGCAACATCGGTCGAATTCGTGGTCAGAGTCTTTAGATGATTTAAAAGTCATTCAAGACTTTGGGGATTCTGCGAAAAACATTAAGTATGTTCTAGGAGAATAAAGATAATATTAATATGTTTGAAAAATAGATATAAAATATAGATATTTTTTAAATGTCTTTTTTAGAAATATTTATTATTAATATCATTCGAAATTTCCATGCGAGTATATTTACTGCAATATAAATGCTGAATCAAAATGTTAAAGAGAAGCATTTGAGAGCCAACACAGGTCGTTTTATTATATACTTTATTATAAGAGTATTATAATATACTTTATTATAATTACACTTGTAACTTGTATAATATTAGCTCTCAAAGAGTTCTCTTTAACGTTTTGATTTTTTATAGCGTTTATTTAAATTATTTGATAAATGCTGAATATTTTATACAGATTGTTTGATGAGAAATATACGGCCTTATATGATGGTTACAAGAAGGCGTATGCCGAGGCGTTGCACAGGTGGGAACTGTTGGATGCTCGGGCGCATGTGTTGAAACATCTGAATGCGTCCTCGAACAACGTGCAGAAGGACGTTGAGTTGCAGAACGAGTGTCGAATCTGCGGCAAGATTAGTCCAGGTCCACAGTGCGCTAGTTGCAAAGGGTTGAGCTTCCAATGTATCATTTGCCATGTTACAGTCAGAGGTTCGTAGTTTTTTGTATAAGTTAAAGGCTAAACTCAGGAAGTGTTTTAATCTCAAATAAAGTTAAAGATTTGGTTTTCGTTGAAAAATCTAGGTGCGAGCAACTCCTGCATGTTTTGCGGCCACGGTGGACACATCGAGCATTTAGCCGCGTGGTTTGCTAAAGAGGTAGTATGTCCTACGGGCTGCGGCTGTCATTGTTTGCAGGAAAATTCAGTACTATTTAAAGTATAGGTAATTTTTTAAATTTAAATAATATAGACGAAACTGTACATAATCATGAATCTGTGATAGATATTGTTATGAGAAGAGAATAAAATGCATTTTATTCTACGTATTATTGATAATTCTGTTTAAAGAAAATTGATTGATCAAAGATGAATAAAAATCAAAGATGATGAAAAGATTTTACGTTATTAAGACATAAATTAGACTCTATTAGATTCATTCAAATTATTGTTGGAGGTTGTCGGTATAGAAAAAGAAAAAAAAACATTTAATGTTTTAAATGTCTTATAAAACCAACTTCATAATTACAGTAACAATTTAACTGTGATGTTTTTTTTACAAATTTTTATCGAATGGGGACTAATATCGATAATGATCGGGTTTATAAGGACCTTCCACAGGTGTATCCAAATATTTAGCTTGTTCTGGCGTGAGAGTTGTTAATTTCACCCCCAAGTGATTCAGATGTAATGCCGCGACTTCCTCGTCCAGCTTCTTCGGCAGCATATGTACACCAATCGAATATTTGTTTGATTTGGTCCAGAGTTCGATTTGTGCGAGCACTTGGTTTGTGAACGAGTTGCTCATGACGAAGCTCGGGTGGCCCATCGCGCAACCCAAGTTCACCAAACGACCCTCCGCGAGAAGGATAATATGTCTAAAATATGAATGAGTGAAATTAAGTGAAATTTAACTTATCGAAAGATCCATCCATTAACAATCACAACAGTAGTGTAACGAAACACACCTGCCATTCTTCAATAAGTATCTGTCCACTTGGGGCTTGATGTTGATTTTCTCAGCGTTCTTTTCTAGCCACGCGACATCAATCTCACAATCAAAGTGTCCTATGTTGCAGACGATAGCGTCGTTCGGCATGTTCATGAAGTGACGATCCACAATGATGTCCTTACATCCTGTAGTGGTGACGTATATCTGGCCCTTCGTGCTCGCCTCATCCATCGTTGTTACCTATGGATTACAGATATTTATTAACTGCTCTAAAATCTGACAATCCGCGATAACACTTATTAATTCTAATTTGCAATATAATGAGGTGCAATGACGTACAATCAGTAATCGAGACGATAATTTGACAATTTTATAATCGATCGAATTTCCTTTTTAATGTACCTCGTATCCTTCCATAGCCGCTTGAAGTGCGTTGATGGGATCAATTTCTGTGACGATAACACGACCCCCGAGAGCTCTAAGACTTTGCGCAGATCCCTTACCCACGTCTCCATATCCGGCTACCACGCACACTTTTCCGGCAATCATTATATCAGTCGCTCTCTTGATACCATCTATCAATGATTCCCTGCATCCGTACAAATTGTCGAATTTACTCTGCAAAAATATAAGGCTAAGTTAACTTCGTTATTACTACTTAGATATTAATAGATTTTTGTGAATTTGATCCTTTTAATTTCCTATTTTAATTCCTTATTTTTATTTTGAAAAACATTGCAAAGTTCAACTATGTGAAACATAAGTATTTATTTTTGAATGAGCAATGTCATGCATTGCGTCATGATTTCTGCAAGTATTAACGCATTTATAAATTACTTATCATCCGTTTATCAGTTTCGTCATTGTTGTTATCTTTTCATGATTTCATATTTATCCTAATTCGTGCAAACAGTGACTATTAAATTCTAATCAAATAATCATTAATGATATTTTCTTCTAATTTATTGACTTTAAGCGTCAATTCTATATTGATAATTTATCCATATCTTCATAAACTTGTTAACACGTGATTTTGCTTTTGTGGGAACATACAAACCTTGGTGACGGAGTCGTTGACATTAATCGCCGGCACTTTGAGTGTACCTTCCTTCATCATGCGATAGAGATTGTGTACACCAGTGGTAGTCTCCTCGGACAGGCCGCGACATTCCTTGAGATATTGCGGATATTTTGTATGCACGAGATTGGTCAGATCGCCACCATCATCGAGGATTAAATTGAACGGTTTACCATCCCGGAACACAAGGGTTTGCTCAATGCACCAGATATACTCTTCCTCGGTTTCTCCTTTCCATGCATATACCGGCACTCCAGTTTTCGCTATCGCCGCTGCTGCGTGGTCTTGCGTGCTAAATATGTTACAGGATGACCATTGTACCTGCAATGTAAAAATGAATCAATATTCGATTCAGATATTAAATTTTTAAATGAAATTAGAGGCATTTTTATATCCGAAACTATTTTTAAGATTGATAAAATTCTTTCTATTTTAATGTAACATACATATGTATATACACATTAAATTCGTGGAAGTTTAAAAAAAAAAAGACTATTCTTCTCGACAACAGAAATAATTTATATGATCTTGATTTTTAAAATAAATAATTTTTACAATTAGAATTAGATATTAATTCACAGAAAAAGTACATTAAAAAAATATAAAAAATTAATTTACAAGATACGTAGATCCTTATCAAACATTTTTGTAAAGATGTGTTTAATGAGAAATTCTTTGAAATGGAAAGAAGAAGTCTTTTCTCACAATATTTATTCACGAATATTACAATCAGAGTTTATTATAATTAGAATAGCACGTCAAGAAAAAAATGTTTACGACTGAATGTGATATATTCAGATTTACAGGAGAGATAAAAAGATCAATAATAATATTTATGTGTACAGTATGAATTTATCTTCGCATGTTTCTTGCTAATAAGTAAATAACTATGTAAAATTCCATCAGCATTTTTGTTATTTACAACTAAGATTGGTATTCATACTTTAAATAATATTTTAAGATGCTAATATGATTTTATAATTGGTTTATAATTTAACTGATTAAACAAATCGATCAATCACAATCAAAATTGCGATTTCACGCTTTAGAAATACTCGACTTACGATTACAACTAAAATTTTTTTATATGTAAACCTTAAAGTCGTAATCAAACTAGTGAGAGTGAGATTGAGAACAGATTGAAATTTAACCAATCAAAGAAAGTTTACTAAACTTTAAATTGGTTTTCTTTCTTCTGATTAATTAGATTCCATTTCAATTTTAATTTTAATCTTCAGTCTGATCACAGCTTAAGAATTGTTAATGCTTACTTCTGCGCCAAGTTCCACCAGGGTCTCAATTAGCACCGCAGTTTGCACGGTCATGTGAAGACAACCGGCGATCCGAGCACCCTTCAACACCTTGGATGGACCATATTTCTTTCTAATTGATATAAGCCCCGGCATCTCATTCTCCGCTAGGGTGATCTCTTTACGACCCCATTCCGCCAGGGAGAGGTCGGCTGTCGAGAAATTTATTCCAATTAAATCCAATTAAGAAAAAAAATGATCGTCAAAACTA